TTTGTGTTTTAGCTACATCTGAATTACAAAGATAATATAATTTTTTTATGGATTTCATTGTAATGCACATAAAAAACACTGATTGATGCCCAAATATGTCTGTCTGTAACATCAGTTTAACCAGTGAAACATTTGGAACTACCACAACACTGAATATGTGTTCATATGAAACTTTTTTTAGTGTTTTTATTGTATTTATTTTTATTTTTTGTTTTTTTTTTTGTTTTTTTTAAGACAGGGTCTCACTATGTAGTTGAGACTGACCTGGAACTCACTATGTAGCCCAGGCTAGTCTTGAACTCACAGCAATCCTCCTGCCTCAGCCTCCTGAGTGCTGGGATTACAGGCATGCGCCACCACACCCAGCTATTTTTCAGTGTTTTATAAAGTCTTTTAATTTGGATTGCTGCAAATCCTGAAACTAACTTTTATGCATTTTGTTTTCATATTACAGCACTGTTGTTTATGATTGAGTTAGTGAATATTTTTCATATTTTGTTTTCTTGCTTTCTTACTAAGTCAGAAAATAAAGAATTATATTTGTGTTATTTAGTCTTCCAACATTGCAGTATTGAATTTTTGTACCCCTTAACTATCTATTTTGGGAGAGGGTTGCTTGATTTTGTAATTTATATTTCTTCACTTCTATTTTTCTATTCTGATACTGTCCTTGCTTCCTATATTCTAGTTTAACATAGAGTAATTGGTCTGGTAGTTAATACAGTAATTAAGTGTGTAAAATTGTAAGGGAGCAGAGAATGGGATGCATATCAATAATTAAAATACAGTGAAAGAGTGGTGATATTGGAAAAGCCAAAGGCAAAAATGAACTGAGGCTTATGAAACAGAAGAATGATTTTAAGCTGTTTAGTTCAATCCATAATTTGGTAAATTATAGGGAAAAGACACAGCTTAAATTTGACAGTGTAATAGTAGCAAGTCACATAAAACAGAATAGAATGATGGCTATGTGCCCTCTTCCTCCAGGAGCAGAGTTAACTGAGGGTTGAGCTTTAGTTTGGGAAAGAAAAAAAAAAATCAAGATAATTAAAGTAGAAAGGGTCAGGGCATAGTAAGTAAGTACACCTGGGTAGGTTTTTCAGGCCTGAACCCAAATTGTTTTCGGTGTACTGAAATTTAAAAACAAACGTGATCACTGAATATTTATTCAATAAAATATAGAAAATAGGAAGAGCTTAAATGGTATAAAAATGAATACTCCTAAAAGCTGAAAAACTTTCTGAATTTGATGGCATTATATGTAGATTCCAGAGTGCATAGTTTGTTATCTAAACTGGTGGTACTAGAAGGAGCTGGAGTCAGTGTAGGTTGAGATTTCATGATGTGTTTAGTAGCTGTGCCAGTAGCTTTGTATTTACTCCAGTGAAATGTTTGCTCTCTGAAATTGGAAATAGTTAGATTCTTGACTCAGAAAATAGTGCTAAAGAATGTCAGCTGATTAACATCAGTCTGAAGGTATATATACAGGAAGAAACAACCAGGAAAAACATTTTAAATCATCTTCTGGTGTATAAATGAACATTTGTAGAGATAATGTACTGGTGAAGACTTGTCTTACTACCTGAAGCAAAATATTAGTAGTGTATTGTGCTTGCCAAGGAAGTAAAGGTATTCTTAATACCACAATGTAAAGTTGGAAGTAGACAGCCTCAGTCCACATTCTCAGCCACTGTCATGGAATGTTGTATGAATTATATACTTTACAAGGGAATTAGACAATTTGGAATATGTCTGTATGAGTAGGAGGGTATAAAAATATGTATGTATAATTTAGAGGACACTATATGATAGAGCTTCCCAAGTATATGTGAAGCTGCTGCATGGAGCCACTGGATGAAATTTTAGTATTAGAGATTCTGAATCAGTAAAATAAATTTGTAATATTTAAGAACTTCAGAGATATTAAAAGAAATTGTCTTGAGAGTGAGGATATCTAGATGGAAGATAACATGCCCAATTTGGGAGTTACTGTATGGAAAGTTGTATTCTGAACTTGCACTTTGAACTACTGCTGCTGGTTGATAAATGCCATATAGAACTACAATATGTGATACAATAAAATACATACAGTATAGTAAGGGAACGTTGCTCTATTGATAAATGAGTGTGTAAACCTACAAATTTCAAGAGGATGAGAACATTTCTCAAATATATTGTGTTTCTCTAATAGTTTTGTTATAATTATATCGACATGGTAGGGGAGAATATTAACAAAAGCAGATTGCTAGTACTTAGGGAATGGAAAGCTTTGAACCTTGGGGTTATGGAGGAAAAATCATAAGTTGAGTTCTTGCATACTTAAATTGGAAAGCATTGAGTTTGAGTCATTTACTAAATGACTTTTACTTATATGAGGCTCAGGCATAGAGAGGTTAAATAAGAAGAGACTTGTCTAAAATCACAAAAAGATACTATTAGAACTGAAATCAGACCTCTGAGGGAGTGTGGTAGTCTACCAAAAATTGTGAATGATTTCCTTGCTAGAAATGTAGTGTTTCTTTCTAGAAAGGTAGTGTTGAAAAGGGTAATAGTGCTCAGCTGGTTGGATTCAAGATGAACCAGATTGTAAATTCCTTGAGGATTGCTACTCTGTCATCTTTTCACTGCTATCAGTACTATCGTAGCATAATTTGTGACTTGTTATTAGCTTGGTGACATCTGTGAGACTGAAAATATCATAGAAGAAACACTGCTTAAATCGCCCATATTAGACAAAAATTTTTGAGAACTGGAACCATAACTTATTTTGCATCAGTGCAGACTCTAGCCCATTTCTGTCCTTTACCCACCATTCTGTTGGGCCCACTACTACTCTGTATCTACCGTGTTCCAAGGACTGTTATGGAAACTGGTGACAAAGTGAGTAACAGAAGTCCATAGAACTTTTAGTTATAAAAGGAATACACAAATGCTTACAAGTTAGGGGGTAATTTCATTGTATCAATTAATTGGATGTATGTATATATGAAGTTACTAATTGTATATATTTATATTTCAAATGTAGTCATTTGAATTTTTATCATTTATAGTTTTTGTTTTTCTAAGTTTGGCAATTTTGTTTACCTGGAAGATCATGAGTCTCCCCTCCATCTGTTATTAACATCATTGTGATTACTTATAATAATACATTGTTAATTGAATTATTCTTGCAATTCTTGGTATAACTTCCTCTTTGTCTTGGTGGATTTTTCTCTTAATATGCTGGTAGACTTCGTTTATTTTCCATGTATATTTATAAATAAATTTAATCTATGTTTATTATAAGCCATTATTGACAGGTCTTTATATTGCTGCTATGCTAACTTGCTAACAAGAATTAGACAGTTTCAAAGGAAATTTAACTGATAATATCAAAAATGCTTGACCTGGACTAAAATTGTGTAATTTTAATTATATTTTCTAATATCCTTTGGTTAAGCGAAAGACTACTTTGATGCTGAGGATTATTAGGAAAGATTTCATAATAATGTTAGAAGGATAAAATGAACTTCAAAAAGAAAAATTGTGCCCTTATAGTCAAATCCAAGGTATTCTATTTTGATTTTTATTGATTTTATTGGCTATTTAGACACAAACATTTGGCAGACTTTGATGAGCAAAATGTTATTTAAGAAATAAAGCATAATAAAATAAACACTGCTGCCAGTAAAGCAGAAAATGTACAGGTTTTTAAGTGATTAAGATTTATATTTGGTTAAGAACACCTTGATATGCCTTTTTTCTGTGTTGGCTGTTATTTAACTGAAAGTGATTTATATAATCAGGAAAATTACAGTGTATATTCATATTTGATAGCTCCCTATTATCAACAGATTGAAATTCCACTTTAGAAGACCTAGAAAATACACTTTTAAAAGATTTAAAAATTTTTAAATATGTGAATGTAAGCCTTTTTCCCAAGAAGGACAAATCTATAAGATGAAGATCCAGCTAACCTTAACACAGTAATGGTAATTCTTATTAGACAGTTCTTTTCTTTGGGGAGACCATTCTCTGGTACATAAGAGAAACTTAATCTTGAAGCCTTAACTCATTTTCTTTATAGGACTTGATTCATTAAAATTCTGTTTTTTAAAAGAAGTATATTTAAGGTCGTTGATCTTGAGTATCTGTACTTTCTTGTATTTGATTCATTAACTCAGTGTAGTTGGATTTCCATTACTGTCTTTCTCCTGAAACTTCTTTGATCACCAATAAATGTAGTGGTCAAATCCAAGGCCCCATTTTTAGCTCCTTACTTTACCATATTTCTGTAATATTTGACGCTGTTGATCACTTTAGCTTCTATGACTCCTCTTCTCTAGTTTTTCTGTTTACCTCCATTTCTTGGTTTAGAGCTTGTTTTCCTCATCCCTTGAATGTTGTTTTTGTTAGGGTTTATTCAGACCTTCCTTCACCTTTTACCTTCTCTAAGACCTCTCATGTAGTTTTAACCACAAAATTTATTTGCCAAACTTAGACTTCTGCTAAACTTGCAGTCTGTTGTCCATTGGGCATTTCTGCATATTCTGAAGGTAACCAAAATATTTAACAAAAAGGTTCAGTTTTAATCTCATTCAGGTAGATTATATCTGAAATTTAAAGGAGCCTGTAGTGTATGTTTTAACAGGTATTCTTATGATAGTTGGCTAAAGCTATCACTTAGAATGACTGGCCTTATTTAAGCATGGAAAAATTAGGTAAGATAAGTCCATATTGTTTAAGAGTTTAGGCTCTGAAGTTTTTATAAGATATGTTAATTGGTTGGTGTAAATGTGGCTTGTAGAAATTAAGGCTGTCATTCTATTAAATGTGGGCTTAACACAGAGAACAGGTCAGTCATTCTTTCCTGGAGTTTGAATATTCACTCTAGTTTTAACACTTTATTGATGGCATTTTTCCCCCAGCTTCCTTTTTTTAAAAATATATTTTTATTTTTTTCCTGGACTAGTAAGAGTACATTTTTTGTCTAACACATTTAAAATTTTTACTTTTAACAGAAATTAGCAGAGTACGGAAAGACATGTACAATGACACATTAAATGGCAGTACAGAGAAAAGGAGTGCAGAATTGCCTGATGCTGTGGGACCTATTGTTCAATTACAAGAGAAACTTTATGTGCCTGTAAAAGAATACCCAGATGTAAGTATATTTTGTTGTTTATTCAACTTTTTTTTTTCCTACTTCACAGACTGAATAAATTTGGTGGTAAATATTTAAGCAGCATTAGCTGCAATAAAAAGTTTCTATGAGGAACTGGAAATGTGAATAATTTGAAATGGATAGTTATTTCTTAAATGTGTTTCCATTTGATGCTGTAATACTACTTTTGGAAATGCTCATGGTAAGAACTGTTTTGGTTTTCAAAAGGAGGTCAGGAATTGTGAAAAGAACTTTGACCTGGATGTTAAAGAGAACCACGTTGAACTTCTCTTGCCCTTAATCTGACCTCAGAGAAGCCACAGTTTGGGCCACATCATCTTTCTATGAAATGAGAATGTTGGATTACAAGTTTCTTTCAACTCTAAAATTTCCATAAAAGCACTATTTCTAATCTCCCCATCTTAGTTCATTGCTCAACTATTCTCTATAACCATCTTGTTAAAAATATTCTCCTTGTCCTATACCAGCTGATTTCTAAATAAATCTGGACTCTTTCCTTTTCATTATAAAAGCCTTCATGATATGGTCCATTCTGTTTCTCTGACTTCATCTTAAATAACTGTCCTTCTTCCTTACTATGGTACATTGTAGTAGTCACGTTGGCCTTCTTTTAGCTTTTGAAACAGGTAAAATCTATTCACAGCCTCAAAATCTTTTGTGTTAGCTGTACCCTGATCTTTTTTGGCTGACTTCTTGAAGAATTGAGCTTAAATGCCACTTCAGTGAGACATCTCCTAATTGTTTTATGTAAAAGTCATCATCTGGTTACTCATTGTTTCACACAAGTCTCATTTTTTTCCTCTGCAGTAGCACTTACTATCTAGTATTTTTCCTATTTGTTTTTCTATCTCTTCTCAGAAGAACATATGATATATAAAACAAGAACCTTGTTTTATTATTTAATGCTGTAACCTCCAAATATTAACACATAATAGGCTTCCAGGACCCATTGAATAAATCGAATAAAAATGGTGGCTTTTTGCCAGGTTTTGGAGAAGATTTTTGATCATAAATGAAGGACGGAATTGGTATGTCAGAAATGACGTGCCAGGTCTGGTGATGCATGGCTGTAATCCCAGCACTCAGGAAGTTGAAGTTGAAGGGTTGCTGCAAGTTTTGAGGCCAGCCTGAATTACATAGCAAGACCCTATCTCGAAAAAAAGAAAAAAGAAGAGAAAAGTGATGTGCTCTAAGATTACTTATATGGACTAGTGGGTAAGGAAGAAATGCTATGACTATGGAAGCAAGTGAAGTTACCTACAATAAGTGATACGTGACTACTGTAGGCCCACCCTTGTTCTTGACATTTATATAGGTGGGAAATGGTGATTTGGGCAGCTGTCCCAGTTGGAATCTATGCTGGTTTTTTAGTGTCTCCTGTCCATCTACTTAAAAGCAGTAGACATTTTCATAGACTGTGCAAGACCATGAGATGTTAATATAATATAACCTACATCTGTCTGGTTCCATCTCTTAAAAAGAAAATCCTACTCAGGCAAAAGTCTTATTAGATTTTTTTGTCTTATTTAAAAAAACAAAGCAAGACATTTTTTAGTCTTCTGAATCAGGATCTGAGTCCAGAGAATATACCCTTCCACCCTGTTCCTTTTCTTCCTTTATCAGTTGTAAATCATTGCCATGGTGAGCTGTTTTTTTGCTGACAGTATTGGAGTGAAACATTGTTCTCAAAGTTAACTTGTAAATGTTCAAGCCCTGTCCCACACTAAGTCAGAGACTATGGGACTGAAACTCCATCATTCTGCCCTACCCCACTCCTATGGTGCTAGGGATTAAACCTAGAGCCTTGCACATGCTAGGCAAGTGTGCTTATCACTGCACTCTTCCCTTAGCCCTGACCTGCCCTTTTATATCCTTGGGGGCGATTCTGACATATGCTAAAGCTTGAAAATTTCTACTGTAGATTTACTTTTATTATCAAAAAGAACTAGACTAAAATCTAGGTCAGTGGTAGAGAATCTATGGCACGTGTAGCTTTTCTTTTAAGACAAAAGGTGTTAATGTTTGAGTTGTCTTTTTCTAAACTAAAATCTCAGTATTCAGGTTTAATTGCAGTGTTGGCCCTTTGTGATAAGTGGGTTTTGGGTTGCAGTTTGGGCACATTTCCCTAAACTGTTTGCCATCATTGATCTAGATGATCATGTAAATTACTGTTTTGCCAGGTATTGTTTCAGGAGATGTGTAGAGTGGTGAACTAAATAATGCCCCTGCTGTTGTGAAACAGGCATGTCAGAGGCTGAGACAGACAATAAGCAAATGAATATATACTTTTAGGTGTTACCAGTACTGTGGAGAAACAAAGTAGTTTAAACAGATATAGAAGACACCAAAGGGGGTTGGTTGTTTACTTTTAAGGGTTAGCAGGAAAGTAATCCCATAAAATGTTGAGAATGGAGAGACAGGAACAGATAGATGATAATGGCATGAAAGTTATCTGTGGGAAAAACATTCTAGGCAAAGTGAAAAGCAAGTGCAGCCACTCAGGCATGACCATTCTTGGGAAGTGTAGTAAGAAGTGAGATTAAAGAGTTAGCAGAGGGGCCTTATCTGTAGTGCCTCTAGGCCCAGTAGAAATTCTGTATATTCTGAGTGAAAGAAGAAGCCATTCAAATATTTTGAGCCTAGGTGAAACATGAAATCACTGAATTTTTTGATGGATGGCTGTTGTATGGAGAGGTTGGGACAGTGAGGAAGTAGGGAGACCAGAGAAATTAAGAAAAATGCCAATCCATCCACATGAAAATGAAATAAACCTATTACCCCAGCATTTTGGTAGGCTGACACAAGAGGATCACAAGTTCAAGCTCAGCCTTTAAGCTGTCTTAAAAGAGGGAGAGGAAAATATAGCTCAGTGCAGAGGCCCTGGGTTTAGTCCCCAATCAAGGTGTGGAGGCCATAAAAGTTTGAATTTTTCATAGATTTTCAAGTTAAAACTGAGGATTTAATAATGGATATAGGGTATGAAAAGAGTCAGGAATGCCTAGAGGTTTTGATCACTAAGAGCATTGCCAGTTATTTTTTCTTCTAGTTCTTAATTCTTATCTCTGTAATGGATATACCAAGTTTCTCACAGGGTTATGAAGACTGAATGAGTTAATATATGTAAAGCACTTGAAAAGTGGGTTGACACTATGTTAAGTGCTGGAATGTAAGATCTGGACGGGCAGGGGACCCCCCCCCCTCGTGCTACAGTTTAGAACATAGTGGTAGGGTTTAGAACAGTATCTGATAAACTTGTAAATGCGCGCAGTAGATATGTCTTTATATATTGTATGGAAAAGATATTACTAAACTTAAAAAAAAACTTGTTTTGCACTTGGTCACTTAACAGAAGTCAGCATTAAGTTGCATGTGAATGGTAATACTTACTTTTTAATTTTAAAATTATTTTCTTTTTTATTTTGTGGGAATGGGCATACAACTCAGTGGCTTAAATAATAACCATTTATTGCTGTATTCATGGATCTGTATGTTTGCTGAGGTTCTGTTGCTAGAGAATAAGCCTGGGTTGATCTAGGCTAGCTGTTTAGTTTAGTTAGACCTTTTTCCATTTATTCCTGCTGGGCTCAGGCTGAAGGGGCAGGAGCTACTTTGGGCATGGTTTTTTGGAACAGATCATTAGCGTGCCAAAACCAAGCCAAATTGTATAAAATTTTGTAAAGCCTCTGCTCTTGTCCATTAGCCTAATGGTTCTCAACTGGGAGCTTTTTTGCCTCATAAGACAGTGACAGTATCTGAAGATATTCTTTGCTGAGAAAACTTGAGGGAGGATTATGTATGGAGACCATGGATGATGCTAAACATCCTAAAATGCAGAGGTCAGCCTATCACAATGAAGACTTGTCTAGCCCAAAATAACAGTAGTGCTGAGGTTGAGAAACCCCACATTAGCTATATCAAGATATTGCATCCACAATGGAACATGGACCAGAATAAAATAGTACTGCAAAATAATTGAAATTATCAGTTGGCTTTGAGTATGTATCAGTTTTTGGTTGACCTCAAAATTGTCTAGAGAAAGAAAGATACAAAATGTATGGCATCTGATAGAGACGACACCAGTATGATTTTTGTGATTATGAGTAAGGAAAAAAGTATGTTCTTAAAGGAGTCTGCAGTTTGATATGAAAGATTGAGACCACTTAAGACTAGATTTAAAGAACCAAGATACATCACGTAAAGGTACAAGATTCTAATGATGAATGTAACTATTGTATACCTAAAATGTACCAATAAACTTAATGGAAAAAAAAAAGACTAGGTTTACTTATACTGATAAAGTGACACATACATGAAGATTAAAGTTAAGAGCAATTTGGTTAAGTTTTTAAGGACTTGCTTGAATCCATGGAAAGCTCATAAAGATATATGGAGTTAATTCTAATGAAAGTAAAGTGTTATGTTTCAAACGAATTAATAATAATTTTGACAAAATTTGCCTAATTTTTTGTCTTTGAGTCATAAGAAATTGTTTTATAGGAGCAGTCAGAGTATTAGATAAGATGCAAGTATTGGCATTGTCTAGCTACAATTAGTTATTCTGTGTATACTTAAACAGATTAGATTGCTAATTTCTTTGGTTGGGGCATATTTTGATGATTAAATTGCAGTGAGACTTCTAAAGATTTTATATGATAACTATAATTTTCTGATGTTTTTAAAATGGGCTTTAATTTTGAATTATATTCTTGAAAGGCATCTCTGCAGTCTAGGCCATTGTGATAACACATTGTCAGAGGTTTGTGAGTTAAGTACCTTTTCAGTGATTTTCCTCCAACTTAAAGGACCCCTTATGGCATGGAGTTTACTATAATTAATACTGTAGGTTTTTAATATTATTCACAATATTCTCTGTGGTCTTGTTTATGATAAGGTTGAGTATTCCTAATTGGAAGATCTTAGATCCCCCAAAATTTCAAACTTTATGAGCATCATTTTCAGATTAGAATGTTGAGGTGATA